CCCCTCTGTTTTTGGGGTGTTTTAGGTACCTGGCCCCGAGAGTTTTGGGGCTACCTGGCAGTCAGGGTACCCTGGTGCTGTTTCAGGCGGGGTTTTTGGAATACTTTAGGATACTTTGGAATATTTTGGGGACATTTTGGGTACCTGGAGGTGAGGGTGCCGTTGGCAAAGGCGAAGTGCCGGTGCAGGAATTGGTTTTTGGTGGCGTAGTCGAAGCTGACCCCATCATCCAGGTACAACTCCCCCTGTGCCGTGCCCTGGGGGATAAAATGGGGTTTGGGGGGGGTCCCAGGGGGTTTTTGGGATGTTGGGGGGGTCCTAGGGAGTGTTTGGGGGGTCCCTGGAAGGGATTTTGGGGTCCCGGGGGAGGGTCTTAAAGGATTTGGGGAGGTCCTGAAGGGTTTGAGGGGCCGAATGAGGGGTCTGGGGGTGTTTTAAAGGGTCTTGAGGGTCTCGGGGAGGATTTTTGGGGTCCTTGGGGGAAATTCGGGGTCCCTGCACTCACCTGGGGGCTCAGGGCCACGTAGAGGGTGAAGGGGTCGCCCCTCATGGCCTCGGTGGAGCGGCGAGGTCGGTCCTGGCGTGGGATCACCGTCCCTCCCCGCTGGAACACCGGGATCTGGGGGGGCACAGGGGGATCAGCACCCCAAAAAAACCCACAGAGAATCCCAAAATCCCCCCAAAACCCACCCCAAAAAATCCCCAAATCCCCCGGGTCACACCCAGTGCTTGAGGTCGTTTTTACCATTTCCCCCCCACATTGGAACACAGGGATATGGGGGGGATCCAGGAGGTTTTTGGGGTCCCCATGGAAGTTTTGGGGTCTCCAGGGAGAATTTTGGGGTGTTTAGGAGGAGTTTTAGGGTCTCCTGAGGGTTTTGGGGTCCCAGGCCTCCCCCCAAACCCCTTGAGACCCCCCCCAAAAAACCCACAGTGCTGAGGGTGGTGGGCACATAGAGGGTCTGGGGTGCCTTGTGCTGCTCGTGGGTCTCGTCATCGTACCACACCTGGGGGAGGAAATTTGGGGTTCAGGGGGGGTCTTGCACCCCCAAAAAACCCTAAAAAAAACCCCCAAACCCCCTGACTCACCTCTCCCTCCCCGGGCAGGTACACGTGGACCCCACGGGCGCCCTGCTCCGTCACGGGGTGCACCAGCAGCACCCGGTCTGGGGGACAGCGGTCAGCATGGGGAAACCCCCAAACGTGACCCCAAAAGGGATCCTAAAAGGGGCCACTGACCCCAAAAAGGGAGACAGGGACCCTAGAAAGGGTCAGGGGCTCCCCCTCACCGATCAGGTACTGGTCATCCATGGCGAAGGTCTGGGGGTCGTCCGGGAATTCCATCCACAGGGGCCTGGGGGGACAGCGGGGATTGGGGTCAGGGGATTTGGGGTCAGAGGTTTGGGGTCACGGGGTTATTGTGGACAGATTTAGGGTTACCCAGGTAGCTTTTTAGGGTGGATTCGGGGTTTTTGGGGTGGATTTGGGGGTTTTTGGGGTCCCTCACCTCATGACAGGGATTCCCTGGCGGTGGCAGTGGTAGAAGGCCGTGTACCACAGCGGGATCAGGGTTATCCCAGGTAGGATTTGCTGTATCTCGGGTGGGTTTTTGGGGTGGATTTGGGGGTTTTTGGGGTCCCTCACCTCATGACAGGGATTCCCTGGCGGTGGCAGTGGTAGAAGGCCGTGTACCACAGCGGGATGAGGGCGTAGCGGCGCCGCAGGGCCACCCTGACCAGCTCCAGGTGCTCGGGGCGCAGCAGCCACGGCTCCCTCCGTGCCGTGTCCAGGTGAGCGTGGGCGCGGAAGAACGGCTGGAACGCCCCCGCCTGGTACCAGCGCACCTGCAGCTCCGCACCCGGGTTCTGGAAAAATCCACCCACGTCCGCTGCGAGTGGGACAGCGTGGGAGTGAGCCTGGAGCCTGAGACTGAGCCTGAGACTGAGCCCAGCCTGGGTCCCGATTCTGAACCCAGCCTGGATCCTGATCCTGATCCTGATCCCAATTCTGGTCCTGACTCTGATCCCAGCCTGGGTCCTGATTCTGATCCCAGCCTGGGTCCTGATCCTGATCCCAATTCTGGTCCTG